TACTATATTTAAAGTTTCATTGTTTTAAAAGTCACTTAATAATTCAGAAAATGGCAAAATGGCAGCACTGTGTATGGCATCTGTCATAGTGTCTCGATCAAGAATTTATTTGGAATTTGAGTGTTTAATTTTGTACTTTTTATAAATATTATGACTACGAAAAAGTTTTTTGTTCCAGAATGTGATAATGATTCACATTCATCTTCAAAAATATTTATTAGTGTTCCTAGAAATTTGGAAAGAAGAAAATCAACCTTCTACTAGCGATGTTTCTCGTGAACTTTTTAATAAAAATACACCGGATTATCAAGATGTAGCAGCAATTTCTGCGAATTGTCCCCTTCAGGAAATTGAAAATGAGGCTACTATAAATTCTTAGGTGTATAACCTAAAAAGCCTTCTGGAAGAAAATGCAGAATCTCCTGAAAGTTTTGAAGATACCGAATTTATTCATCATTTTGTGGAAGAACTAGTGATAAAGAAATAATAGAAAAATGTGGGTATTTAAACAAACTGGTTCCTGGATCCCATATAATGACAGATAGGGGTTTCAGAATATTCAGCTACTTGAAAACATGGGATGCACTTTAGTAAAGCCACACCTAGTGTATCACAGAATGAAAAAAGTTTTCCAGAAGATGTACAATTAAGTAAAAGAATAGAATCTCTAAGAATACATGTGGAAAGAGTTATAAGAAGGGTTAGTTAATTTAACATGTTAAAACCACATTCGTGTGTGAATTTTAAGCAAGTACATTTACTTAGTAATATCTGCATAATTGCTTGTTAACTTACAAGAACCTATTTTGTAAGAGTAAATATTAATTTAATAAACTTTTTTGTTTGTTTTTTAATTTAATTTACCCAATTATCACATTTCAGGGATTATAATGAGTTTTTAAACAGCCAATGTAATTTTTGATAAAAATTTAACTTTTCCTTTTTCAAAAAACCAGAAAGTGTGCCTTCTTATCAATCCTTTATGAAAATGACAACAGTAATAAATGTGAAAAAAAAAATTTTATGTTGCTATTCGTTATTACGATAGTAAAACATGTTTGCAGTTCCGTTTATTTTTTATGAAAATCTAAGTAAAAACAACCAATGTCAAAAGGTTATTATTTTTTTTCTGTCAAACCAAATATATCACAAAATTAAAAATTGATCATAGATCAAGCTAAAGTAATACCTTTATTGATAGTAGCTTTAAAAAAGGAGAAAGAATAATATTGACTTAAGTTATTAATATTAACATTGGTGATTTTTAATAAAAACTTTTCAATTATTGTTTACAAACAAAAATATAAAAATCTGTGAAAATTTTATTTATTAACCTTTTAATAAAAAATGAGAAAAATGAAGTAAAAAACAATTTATTTACAAATAAAAAATATATATACGAATCCTAACAATATAAAAGTACTGATTTATTTTCCTGTAGTGGATGAAGAGGTTTCTTTAACAATCTAGCCAAGTGTACATCAATATTTACGCATTTTGATAAATTAGAGCCTTTCCAATAACACTGAGTAGATGTTACAGATGGTTCCTCACTTCTTCTATGAAGCCACATGTTTACAACCACCTGAAAAAAATAAAAGGGTTAGATATGCAGTTACAAAATAACTATATAACCAGCTACAAAATGCCTTATTTTATGTAACAAGACGAGCAGAGCTTTACTAGCTCTGAACAAATCTAGTAAAGAACCTCGGATTTTCAAAACTTAAAAAAAAACAATCTCACCACATTTTCACATTTTTGAAATATTATAGAGCTTTTCGAAAAAAACTGCTATTTTTAAAAGTACAATTTTTTAAGCTATTGAGTATTATAAAATAAAAAATTACGGGATGCTTTGTTAGCTTCAAACGAATCCAGCAGAGCACCCCAGTTTTTTTTTTTAAATAACACCACGTTTTTTGGCTCCTACAATATTATAAAATATTCGGAATTTGACATTTTTAAAAAAATTCGCAATTCCTTGCTGACTTCAAAGTTTTTTTTCTGAAAACATATATACTTACCACATTTTTAGGATTTTAAAACAGCCTAAACATGTGTCATAAGTAGTTGTTTTTATATATAAAAAAAACAAATTAAAAAACTGAAGTGTCCTGTTGATTTTGTTCCAACAAAGCACCCTGTATTATTTAAAATTAGCAATTTTTTTAGTAAAGTTTTACAATATTTCAAGAGTCTAAAAATATTCTAAAAATGGGGTGTGGTTTTTAGAAAAAAGCTTTAAAAAACCGAATTGCTCTGCTGGCTTCTTTCGAAGGTTAGCAAGCATGCACCATGTATTTTTTAAAAATATAATATTTCAAGTGCATAAATATATGGTGTTGCTGTTTTTACCGAAAAAACTACATAAAGCAGAGGTGCTTTGCTGACTTCGTTCGAAGGCTATCAGAGCATTTTAAGTTTTGCAAAAAACGAGGAGCATAAAATTTTTGAAAAGGGTATAAAAATAGCCTAAAAATATGGCATATTTTTTAACTCAAAATTTCATAGGTGCTCTGCAGCATTCTTTGGTATCATAATTATTACTAGGTTCACTAACAAAATCTATTTCTAGATTATTTTAACACTTGCTGCGATTACAAAAAATGTCTATATGTCAAAATTAGAAAAAAAATATTTATAGGAATAAAAGGCCTTATACCACATACTTTGATTTTCTTTTACTATACGGAGAATGGTCGCACTGCGCAGCTTTCTGAGTGCCTTTTAAAAGGAGATAGAAAACTCCGCCATTTTGAACCCTTATTACGTGTGGCCTACATCTTGGCGCAATATTTTTAATAGGTGCGTTTTAATCATCCGCTTCTGTTTCGGAATTGTCGGTTTTCTTGTTTTAATTTGACAAGTTAAACGACTAAACCGACAATTCCGGAAGCAGAAGCGGATGATTAAAACGCACCTGATATTTTGCTTGCGGCTGTCAGTGTCAGTGAATATTATTTTTTGAGTCACAGATTATTGCTAAAGAATCAGTTAGCTCACTCGGACCAGTTGAAAGTTTCAAAATAAGATCCACTCCAGAGATACAAATTTAGGATACGCAGAAGACAGCTGTTTTATTATAGGTGGTTGTTATATATTGTATTATCCGAGTTGCGCAGTGTATAAACTGGAACATTGAGATCAAAAGTGCCGACGCAGAGTGAGCGATCTGATTCTTTAGCTATAAACTATTGCATAGGGTTCAAAATGGCCGGGCCCTATGTTGGGCGTGTCGGACCTCTCTCTTGCGCCGTATAGTGAAGAAAATCAAAGTATGTGCCTTATACACTGTTTATTATATGTGATATAAAAACAAAAAAACATAATAAATATTACAAACCTTGACATGCAGCATATCCTAAGCATTGTGCACTAAAAATTTCATTTTTGTTAATTACAACAACCACATCAGAAGGTTTTTGCCGTACTTTATGTTTAGGTGTAATTTGTCTCCTTCTCTCTTATGGAAAAAGAAATTATCCCCATATTCTTGCTAGGCAGATCTAAAAATAAAACCTGAGATAAATATGTTTTACCATAAGGTGTATTGGCTCCAGATAAACTGTAACTACCTACTATTAAAACAAAGTCTTACCTTTCTGACTTTTGTAAACTGAGTATTGTTAAAAAATGCAGTAATCATCTCGGTAATCATATTTTCGTTTACAATGGGTAAAACACTTGATTCAACTTTTATAAATCCAGCTGATCCATATTAATAATAAAATTAAACCAAAACAAAAAACTAAGGTTAGGTGTTAGGTGGTGTCAATTTTAATGTCACTTAGATGTGCGTTCACTTCGACATTCTGTGTATCGGTTTGTTCGTTGGCTTGGTTTTGTATAACAAAAAAAACTTCGACACAAGATGATTGATCTATTCCCGATGACGTATAATTTCAAATTTTAAATTTCAATTGGGCTTAATTTAAAAACTTTTGGCTTTTTTAACGAACTGACTATTTAGAATAACTTGTATAGCGACTAACTATTACAATATCATTTATAAAACAGCATATCTCACATGTGAACACGGCCCATTGTATGGGATTTATGAATGTAACATTTTGTCGCTATGTTGTAATGTCTTTGCATCATACACAGTAATACACACTATGATCATGGTCGATGGCCGTATGCACTAGCGCCCTACCTATTGGAACCTTGGTAACTAATAGATGAAACAAAAAGTTATTATTTTTGACGACGATAGAAAATGAAGACATGACAGAGATGAGACATCAAGACTAACTTCACATTTTATTATCGATATTGGATTTTTTTAAAATGAATTATTTTTTCATATTCGGATTCTGATTCATACCATGGACGTTGCTACCTACAATGAATAACTCTAGTATCCTTAAAACCGAACAATTGTTGTTGCCTAGAGATAGGTAAGTGTATACCAAATACCATATCATTTTAGGCATTCCAAACAAATGAATTGCCAGTGGGCAGGTTTGGTATATCTAAGGGTGGCGACATATGGTGTATTCTATCTACTTTACGTAAAATCATGAATAATAGATTACATTTAAATATTTTATGTCAAACACAATAAAAATAATATTTAAAAAACCCACCTATACATTTCTTCATAAATTAGCAGGCCTGGCGAGTACTACTTCGAATAAAAACAGCGTCCAAGTTGCAAGACTATGTCGCTACCTCCTTAAATATGCAAGAATTTCCCACTGGCACCTATTGTTTGACAGGTCGTTGGAATGCCTAATATGTGAATAATTGATAACGTTTTAAATAAAATTATGAAAATGTAAAGTAGTCAACGCACTGTACCTCGAAAACAAAATGTCATGAGTATTCAATCAGATAAATTTTTTAAGAAACAACTAATCAACAAAAGTTTTGAAAAAATGTATTTATTATTTTATCAGCTCTTATAATTGCATTATTATATTTACTGATAATGATCATTATGCTAAACCTTTCTAATGTATAAAAAGCGCATAGAATCCAATTTCATTCATTATATTTTTCTAAGTGCAAGTATAAAAATATAATAATTATATTAGTTTAACAAAAATGGGATTATTATTTTACAAATGTTTAATCCTATTTACTTCTTGTACACTAGGGGTTTCACAATCGCAGGTAAATTAATATTTAGTACTACTTTCAATATACCAATAAGTTTTAAATTTGATTTGTGTTCAAAAAGATGAATGTCAATTATTCCAATATTCATTATTTTTTATTTTTGGTATTTATTGTCATTTATAAATAATACAAGATAAATAATTTTATTATACATTCTAATTTCATCAATATATTCATTATTTTCCAGGAAATTTTGTCTAATATTGTTACACTAAACCATGGAGGACAAATACAAGGACATCTACTAAAAAGTCAAAAACAAAATGTTTATTATGCTTTTCAAGAAATACCTTACGCCACTCCACCAGTAGGAAATTTTAGATTTAAGGTAAATAATTTTTTATTTAAATTTATCGAGTATCTGTAAAATGGAAAGAAGATTTTGAATATTTTTAGATTCAATGAAATTATTAAATTAAAGCTGTTCTAATACCGCTTTCTGGATACCTATTCTCTAACTCATGGGAGCACTCCCACGCTTCCATGCTCCCATACTCCCATGCCAACGTTGCCAAGTCGACAGAATAACTTTGATCTACTATTTAAGGACCGATCCACCGTTGTGTTAAACGAAGTTTAAAATGACATTTTTACATTAACAATGTCATTTTAATCTCCGTTTAACTCAACGGTGGAATCGGCCCTTAGTAGTTCAAATTTGCTTTGTGATAAATACGGACCTAATCTGGCAAGCCCGCAATTCTCCCTCCCATAGTATAAAATCTGACCTTACTACGCATGTACCTGTGATAAAAGTGAGTAAGCACGATATACCCACCTAAGAGTAAGAGAGCAAAATATATGGGAGCACTCCCATGGGAGCGCTACCATGACTTAGTGAATAGCTATCCTGTTCGGTCGAAGTTGATAGATACCTCATCCATTTCATAAAATATCTTTGTATGCAACCCTCTATTTGTTTATGTAAAGACAGTTGTACGTGTAATAATTCGGTTACATACTAACTGCAGTCTAAATAAAAGGTATAAAAAAAATGCCGAACTGCAGTCATGGAGGTATAATACTAATGGAGATGCCATGAGGCAATGGGCCATGTTCACATGTGATATATGCTGTTTTATAAATTATATTGTAATAGTTAGTCGCTATACAAGTTATTCTAAATAGTCAGTTCGTTAAAAAAGCCAAAAGTTTTTAAATTAAGCCCAATTGAAATTTAAAATTTGAAATTATACGTCATCGGGAATAGACCAATCATCTTGTGTCGAAGTTTTTTTTGTTATACAAAACCAAGCCAACGAACAAACCGACACACAGAATGTCGAAGTGAACGCACATCTAAGTGACATTAACACCACACCTAACCTTAGTTTTTTGTTTTGGTTTAATTTTATTATTAATATGGATCAGCTGGATTTATAAAAGTTGAATCAAGTGTTTTACCCATTGTAAACGAAAATATAATTACCGAGATGATTACTGCATTTTTTAACAATACTCAGTTTACAAAAGTCAGGAAGGTAAGACTTTGTTTTAATAGTAGGTATTTACAGTTTATATGGAGCCAATACACCTTATAGTAAAACATATTTATCTCAGGTTTTATTTTTAGATCTGCCAAGCAAGAATATGGGGATAATTTCTTTTTCCATAAGAGAGGAGACAAATTACACCTAAACATAAAGTACGGCAAAAACCTTCTGATGTGCTTGTTGTAATTAACAAAAATGAAATTTTTAGTGCACAATGCTTACGATATGCTGCATGTCAAGGTTTGTAATATTTATTATGCTTTTTTGTTTTTATATCACATATAATAAACAGTGTATAAGGCCTTTTATTTCTATAAATATTTTTTTTCTAATTTTGACATAGACATTTTTTGTAATCGCAGCAAGTGTTAAAATAATCTAGAAATAGATTTTGTTAGTGAACCTAGTAATAATTATGATACCAAAGAATGCTGCAGAGCACCTATGAAATTTTGAGTTAAAAATTATGCAATATTTTTAGGCTATTTTTATACCCTTTTCAAAAATTTTATGCTCCTCGTTTTTTGCAAAACTTAAAATGCTCTGATAGCCTTCGAACGAAGTCAGCAAAGCACCTCTGTTTTATAAAGTTTTTTCTGTAAAAACAGCAACACCATATATTTATGCACTTGAAATATTATATTTTTAAAAAATACATGGTGCTTCTTGCTAACCTTCGAAAGAAGCCAGCAAAGCAATTCGGTTTTTTAAAGCTTTTTTCTAAAAACCACACCCCATTTTTAGACTCTTGAAATGTTGTAAAACTTTACTAAAAAAATTGCTATTTTTAAATAATACAGGGTGCTTTGTTGGAACAAAGTCAGCAGGACACTTCAGTTTTTTAATATATAAAAACAACTACTTATGACACATGTTTAGGCTGTTTTAAAATCCTAAAAATGTGGTAAGTATATTTGTTTTCAGAAAAAAAACTTTGAAGTCAGCAAGGAATTGCGAATTTTTTTAAAAATGCCAAATTTCGAATATTTTATAATATTGTAGGAGCCAAAAAACGTGGTGTGGTTTAAAAAAAAAACTGGGGTGCTCTGCTGGATTCGTTTGAAGCTAACAAAGCATCCCGTAATTTTTTATTTTATAATACTCAATAGCCTAAAAAATTGTACTATTAAAAATAGCAGTTTTTTTCGAAAAGCTCTATATTTCAAAAATGTGGTGAGATTGTTTTTTTTTTAACTTTTGAAAATCCGAGGTTCTTTACTAGATTCGTTCAGAGCATTTTGTAGCTGGTTATATAGTTATTTTGTAACTGCATATCTCTTTTATTTTTTTCAGGTGGTTATGAACATGTGGCTTCATAGAAGAAGTGAGGAACCATCTGTAACATCTACTCAGTGTTATTGGAAAGGCTCTAATTTATCAAAATGCGTAAATATTGATGTACACTTGGCTAGATTGTTAAAGAAACCTCTTCATCCACTACAGGAAAATAAATCAGTACTTTTATATTCTTAGGATTCGTATATATATATATATTTTTTATTTGTAAATAAATTGTTTTTACTTCATTTTTCTCATTTTTTATTAAAAGGTTGATAAATAAAATTTTTACAGATTTTTATATTTTTGTTTGTAAACAATAATTGAAAAGTTTTTATTTAAAATCGCCAATGTTAATAATAATAACTTAAGTCAATATTATTTTTTCTCCTTTTTTAAAGCTACTATCAATAAAGGTATTACTTTAGCTTGACCTATGATCAATTTTTAATTTTGTGATATATTTGGTTTGACAGAAAAAAACTTATAACCTTTTGACATTGGTTTTTACTTAGATTTTCATAAAAAATAAATGGAACTGCAAACATGTTTTACTATCGTAATAACGAATAGCAACATAAATTTTTTTTTTTCACATTTATTACTGTTGTCATTTTCATAAAGGATTGATAAGAAGGCACACTTTCTGGTTTTTTGAAAAAGGTAGCAAGAATTGTGATATTTTTAAATTTATCACCAGTGATATCACATGTAGTTACCCGATTTATTGGAATATATAGACTTTGCTACCACATTCAACTGAACTTGGTTGTTTTTAATATTTATCACCGCGACATAGACGTTTTTGTTAAAATGTTTCATTTTAAACTGCTGTAAATAGGTGCCTTTGTTTTGGTAGTTTTAGTCCCAAAAAAATCTATGCATATACAGGTACTCATTCCTCTTTGATTTGCTCGAAAAGTTAAATTTTACCAAAAATTACATTGGCTGTTTAAAAACTCATTATAATCCCTGAAATGTGATAATTAGATAAATTAAATTAAAAAACAAACAAAAAAGTTTATTAAATTAATATTTACTCTTACAAAATAGGTTCTTGTAAGTAAACAAGCAATTATGCAGATATTACTAAGTAAATGTACTTGCTTAAAATTCACACACGAATGTGGTTTTAACATGTTAAATTAACTAACCCTTCTTATAACTCTTTCCACATGTATGTATTCTTAGAGATGCTATTCTTTTACTTAATTGTACATCTGGAGAACTTTTGGTATTATACGCCGACACTCGAACGGCGGATATAACTATTGAAATGTTATAAAGAGTTTCTAGACACTTGGAAACACACTATGCATAACAATTTTGGGTCCGCTAACACTTATTTAAAAAAAAAAATTTACCTTAAAATCCTGAAAATCATTAAAATTTGTTGTCCGGTCTCCATCATAAAACAAATGTGAAATAAACCATTTTCACTGATTTCTTGTTGTAGAAACGGCTAAATATCAATATAAGACCATTCATAGAGCAATAAACCGTACCAAATTTTTTCATAAACGATCAAATTTTCTTATTTTTCATTTTAAGTTTGTTAGAAAAATAAATAAACATTAAATTATTTTTAATGACAATTGATGTGTCTAGTTTCTATAATTGCGGTGTTGCCAAATCGAGTAAGAAAACATATAAGTCAGGAAATAATTCGGTTAGTGAAAGTTGGCTGAAAAATTACATAGTGTCCGACCAGCAGGTAAATTTGGATCTCGAAGTGAAAACATTTGTAGTAATCACAGACAACCGTCTTTTTATTTCATTTCATGATGATTGTACGTTAATTACGGCATGTCGGTACTTATCTAATATTTAAAATAAATTTTTTTTCCATTTGAACTGGGTCCAGGCCGTTGGAGTTTATGCCGGTCGGCGTAGCCAGGTATGGTTTAAAATTTTTCTGGTGGCGGCGAAGCCGCCACTTTACAAGAAGTCGTTCCTTCATTTTCTTATTGAATTTTTTCTTATTATTAGATGCCCACGATACAAGACACGTTCGTTAAAAATTGGGATCGAGGTTCACTGGTCAGACGCTAATGAGGGTTGGTTAGGTTAGGTTTTTCAATTTGAGCTGTGTCCAGGCCGTTGGAGTTTATGCCGGTCGGCGTAGCCAGGTATGGTTTTAAAATTTTCTGGTGGCGGCGAAGCCGCCACCTTACAAGAAGTCGTTCCTTCATTTTCTTATTGTATATTTTCTTATTATTAGATGCCCACGATACAAGACACGTTCGTTAAAAATTGGGATCGAGGTTCACTGGTCAGACGCTAATGAGGGTTGGTTAGGTTAGGTTTTTCAATTTGAGCTGTGTTCAGGCCGTTGGAGTTTATGCCGGTCGGCGTAGCCAGGTATGGTTTTAAAATTTTAAAATGTTATTACAAGAAGTCGTTCCTTCATTTTTTTATTGTATATTTTCATATTATTAGATGCCCACGATACAAGACACGTTCGTTAAAAGTTAAGATCGAGGTTCACTGGCCAGACGCTAATGAGGGTTGGTTAGGTTAGTTTTTTTTTTTCAATTTGAGCTGTGTCCAGGCCGTT